ATGGGCCACTATAATCTTATGCATGTTCAGGTAGATGAGATGGCTAATATTCTATATACCAACTACCAGACGGAAGAAAGCACTGTCTGGACCTGCTCAAGTGGACCACTTGGATCCACTCACCTAAAACAGGAAACGCATCAGGGCTTGAAAAATTTTAGGGTGTCTCACCTCAGTCCAAAATGTCACCAGTCAGCATGACCGGACTATAACCTTGCAATTTATGTTAAAAAATTTTTAGGGACAGATGGAGCTTTCTTTTGGTGGTATTTAATCACCACGGGGGGGTTATTTTTTGCCATATAATGAGAAAAGTACAGTCCATTTCAGGGAAAAATAAGCTTTCCCTACATTATGTTAAAAAACATTTATTCTTACCCATATTTTTGGTAAAGTATAAAAGACGGGGTCACGTCGGGTAAATAGACACCAAACATGTGAAGACTTAAAGTTGTGTGGACATACTCAAAATCGACCATAGGCGACGCTTTAAAGCTCATCAGTTTAGTGTCATCAGTGATTAATGGCCCTAAAATGATTGCTCTCACTGCAACGTTCGCGATCACATGGGGGGCTAAGAATCCCCCTATGTGATAGCCAATTTACATGACCGGTCCTCTTTATGGAGACATCAGGGATCTACAAGACCCATAATGTCACCTAGGGACCCCTAGAGAAGCTGATGAAGCAGAGATCTGCTTCACCAGTTTCCCCCTGCTTCTGAAGCTGGAGAGTGACAGCAGAATGTGGAAGTGACGAATATACATCACTTCCTGCATTTGGGGACCAGAGAGGAGTTCAGAGGGAGATCGTGTACAGATCTCCCTTTGATCTCCTGTCACAGAGCAGCCGTGGTGGTCGGCCGTTTAACTACAACGGCCGGCCAGGAAGTTACTCGTCTGGCTCCGGCGTCCTCTCGTCACAGACGAGAGGACGAGCGGATTTTTTCAAGCCCTGCACATCTAAAATAAGAGGGGCGGTGCCTCCCAACCACCTCAGTTATTGTGTTTCCTCCAGCCTAAAGGCCGTAACACACTGCACGCGAAGCCGTGCAGAGCGAAGCAAAGCTCTCTGGCACGAAGCTTTGCGTGCAGTGTGTGAGCTGAGTGCAGTCAGATGATTGACTGCACCTTCAGCCAATCGGCTCGTGCTTAACAACCGGCCAGACGTCGCATCCCGTCGCGCCGGTTTATACGCGCGAGCCGATTGGCTGAAGTTGAAATTGTTCATCTCGGCACGCTCAGCTCTGCGAGCTCTCGCAAGCTGAGGTGCCCAGAAGAAAATTACATGACACACTGCTCGCAAATGCAGCGCGCCACCGCTCCGCGCTGCTTCGCCTGCAGTGTGTCACGGCCTTAACAGGAGCATTAAAACCATTTGTTATTTTTCCATAGTCCTTCGTTCTAGTTGCAGGGGCCTTCCAGTGTACGCTCCCCCACGATTCAGGGACAGTGGATCTGGAGAGGTTTGCGTGCCTGGGCTTGTCCTGGCTAGGATTCACTTTTTTTGGTTATCCTAATTGTGGTACCCTCCCTCCCCATCTCTTTCTCCAAGGTTTCTTCTCCACCCTGAGGAGAAGCGGCTATTCCCGTGGGCACAGAGGCTCTAGTTGAGCCCTCCCTTCCTCACATTTGGTCTGGCTCAGAGTTCTCCTCTGTTGGTTGAAAGAGGAACTGTTTCGAGGCCCAAGCACGGTCACCCAATCAGGGGAGTGACATCACTGCTCTCCCAGGTCACCAACACAGCCAATCTCTGTGCCAGCTCCATGAAGGCACTGTGAGTTTCTTGGGCTACAGTTGCCTTTCCCTGCAGAGGCAAGGTACCGTCGTCTCTTTAAAAGTTTTAGCCTTGGAGAAGGAATTGCTACAGAGGCCCAAGATAGTTAACATGATGTAGTTACTTGGCACTAGAAGGGAATTTTTAGTTTGATAAACCTTCAATAGTAATGACGCAGGGAGGTACTGTGCTTTCAATCAGCCATGGCTGAATCCCCCTCATATTATTGTGCTGCCAAAACTAGAGCACATAGAAACTTTTACCCATATGAATTTGTTGGCTGTTCTATAATGCTGGCAGCAAAGAATTGATGTTAAAGGTACGGCATGTTTATCTCGACTTCCACTTAAAGCTGGACTATTTTACATGGCAATTTTGTATTTTATTTATTATAAAAATGAAAGCACTATATGTGCGGGATATGCTGGCTTTTCAGCGCATTCTCTTCATCGATTTTTTTTTTTTGGTGTCTCTAAAGCAAAATTTGTCACACGGGGGGTCCGTAGCCCTTACCTATTCCACTCTGAAGATGCTCTTTATCTGGCTAATACACTGGCTGGGTTCTGTAAGGACGTTTTCAGATGGGTGGTCTGATTTGGGTCTGCCAAGTATTTCAAGCGGACCCAGTTACCCCCCGACTCCAGCCAAGTTTCGTTTCACTGTACCTGACCGTGCCAGATCGGGGGTAATTGCTGTAAATAGACACATGTCCATTTACATCCGATTCCCCATGGACCGACATGGGGTCCAGTCAGTTCAATGTTTTCCTTCATAGCTAAATAGAGGGGAAAACTGTAAGGGCACTTGTGTCACAGCAGTTACATCGACACGAACTGTTCCAATTATTAGGGGATCCGTGCAGGGATCCCCTCCTGATCAGCCTGTCTCAAAGGAGCCATAGGGACACACAGTACTGAGGCAACAAGGTAAATGTGACAGCCAGCAAACTAGCATTCGAAGAAGTAGCAATGGCCAATGCCCTGCTCCGTTTTCTTGTAACTTATCTTTACTCTCAGGCAAGGATCACACCTAGACGACTCCTGAGTGCACGGCAATCTGCGCGGTCTTGTGCATGATTGCCACGCAGTCGGGAGCCGCCATGGTGTCAGCCGATCGCGCTGTGGGTGCTTTTTATTTTGTAATGACACCCCGGTTGTGCCGGGCAGATCGTGCGGTTTTGTAATAACACCTCAGTAGTGACGGGCAGATTCCGCAATTCCGCCCGTGCAAGTGAACATGATCGTGGCTAAAAAGGCAGCGAGTCGTGTGTCGCAAGAAAAGGTATTTGTACCCTTTTTTTTTAGCTATTGCCACACGGATGTCACCCCATTGAAATCAATGGGGCCGCGCGACAATCGCTGTGTGCGCCTGAGCCCCGCGGCCATCAAAGTGGAAACCTATCTGATTGTGTCAGTGGTGTCCGTTGTTCAGCTTCCACCAGGAATACTTAAGCAGATCCGGCTTGTTCCACCTATGTTTTGTGGGGGGGTGGTTCCTGCTGGTGGTATAAATAGTTTTTTAAACTGACCCTTATGGGTCATGGATATCCGAGTTGAAGCTCTACTTTGTGCTGGGCTTTATGCTGGAGATGCTGTAGAATAATTCTGTCATTGCATTTTCTCGTTTGTAGATGGCTAAATAAATGTTTGTGCTGTACCTAACCACCATTCTGCATTGGCAGATGTGTAATTGTACAATGTATTTGTGTTTTATATACAGTATCTACTGGGGTAACAGCCTTATGTTCTCCTGACATATGCAAGCTTTGCTACCTGCTTAATAGTGATCCTTTAAAACCGATTTACTAAAGTTGTCGAGAATGTTGACACAATAGATTGTGTGAATATTCACTTCAATTATCCAATCGTGTAAAGATTAAAAAAGTAAACTGATTTACTTTTCACATAAGTGGATCCCACTGGTGGAAGTCTGCTGGACAAGGGTCTACGAGGGGAGACCCTCTGCCGGACAAAGTTGAATACCGAGCCGCGTGTTGCTGCTAGCTGACAATGCCCCATGCACATCAAGCTGCAGAAACTGTCACTTTTGTTCGTGATTGTGGCTATGAACCTCTGCCCCATCCACCTTACTCACCTGACCTGGCACCTTCAGACTTGTTCCTGTTTAAAAATCTGAAAAAAGAGCTTCAAACCCCCAGACAATGATGTCGGCTAGCAGCAACACATGGCTTGGCATTCAACTTTGTCCAGCATGACACCTACTGCATTTCTCTTGGCTCTAACTATAATTCACCACGACCTACAAAAACAAAAAATGGCATGCATATTAGTAAGGCCTGGTTCACACCTGTATGTTTTGTAGCGCGTTCAACGCTCTACAAAACGCTCAAACATGAAAATCCCATTTGTTTTCTATGGGTATGGTTCACACCTTGCCATATTTCAGCCCGTCTGAGTGCGCTACAAAACGGCCTACGCCTGAAAAGGTACATGAGCTTTTTTTGCGGTGTTTTTGTCACGCGTTTCCATTGGGATACAGCCAAGTAGCCCGCGGAAACGCACGTATGTCATGCGTTTTTTTTACCGCGAATCGCGCGTCATTCGATACACATATTCGATACGCCTAGGTGTGAACAGAGCCTTAGATATTCACCTATAAACCTGCAAAATGTCAGATCCCTAGCACATCTAGATAATGGGGAGGGTAAGAACTTACTGGCCTCCCCTCGTACGTGGCGGAAAACAATAGAAATTCCTGCAGTCTCTGATGTTAAACACCCACAATGCTCCTGGTAGCCAGAGACCTCGTCTCCTTATTTTTTAAAATTTATTACAGGTATTTATATAGCGCTAACAATTTCTGCAGCACTTTACATAGTTGCACATCAGGCCCTGCGCTCAAGGAGCTTACAATCTAGGGTCCCTATTTCGCATGCATACATATGAGGGCCAATTTATTATATGTCCTTGGAGTGTGGGAGGAAACCAGAGTACCCGGAGGAAACCCACGCAAGCCGAGTGAGAGCATGCAAACTCCTTACAGATGTCCAGACCAGGATTTGAACCGGGAACCCCCCAGTGCTGCAAAGCAGAAGTTCTAACTACTTGGCCACTGTGATGGAGTATTGGGTAATTTTTGTTTTTGATTTATGGCAAGACGAAGGTTATTTTTTACTACATGCGTTTGTTAAAGTGTGTTTCTAAGTCATTTGGAATATTTTATTATTATTTATTTATAAGTCCATATACATTTTTGTTTTCCAGGACAGAAAACTAACCAAAGCAGAGCAGCAACGATTTAAAGAAGAGGCAGAAATGTTAAAGGGGCTTCAGCATCCTAACATTGTGCGGTTCTATGATTCCTGGGAGTCCACATTGAAGGGGAAGAAATGCATAGTCTTGGTGACGGAGCTGATGACATCTGGCACTTTAAAAACGTAACTATCTTTGCACACACTTCAGCTGTAGAGTGCCTTTCCATTGCCCCATTGCACAGTGCTGTATGACAGGTCTTCACAGGGAATGCTATTAAGAGGCTTTATTTCACTTTGATATTGATAATTGCTACCCTTTAAAACCATTTCAGCAACCACCATCTACAGGTAGTTTTTATAGTTGGATGTTTTATAAAAGTGTCCAAACTATTATCTTTTTTTCTTTTTCTGTGTTTCCTTTTATGTAACTTTTTTTTTTTTTTAAACTAGCTTTCACTAGGGCTTAACTTTCCTGAAATCCAGCAAATAGTGGCAAATTGCCAGTTATTTACTCTCCTGGCTCCCACACCTCTGGGCTATATTGTTGTATTTAATCCACGCAGACACTTATTGCCTTCAAGTACTTACTTGTTTATTTACAGTATTTGTAGCGACAATGTGTTCGAGTGCCTATGCAACAGTGATCCTGCTAAAGGCCCTATTGTGTCCGGTCCACTTCACCTCAGGTGCCAGCTCTCCCAGTCCCTACTCCAGCCTCTCACAGTATGATCCTGAAACTGCACACCAAGTTCTTATCTCCAGTAACAATTGTTGTTCCAAACACCACAGCACAAGTGTGACAAGTTTCATTCCTAAAGTCTTACCTGTTGAGACTGGTTAAGCCCTTAAAGTGACACTAAACTCAGGACTGAAATCTTAAGAAATACATTCAAGTCCCTTAATTATTAATAAAAATGTATCTTATTTGTGTATCACTCGGCTGTAGGTACTCCAATCATCTCTGAATCGGTGCTGACACTGTCCTTCCATCTGGAGGGCGGCTACTTTTGTTCCTCATGGTCCCTTTGAGTTGTAAAGTTGTCACCGCTCCTAGCTCGCTCCCGTGATGGACTACAAGCTCATATAAATTCGCTAACTAATGGGGGGAATTGAAGTCCATCACACGAGCGAGCCTAGAGCATGGCAAAACAAAATACACCTGGAATGTATTTAGCAAAGTAAACTGAAAATTCATTTGACAGTGATCCACTCATGGCTCATTTACAGGCAATCTAGAATACATAAACAAAGGTCACACTTCTGATAACCTCACTCAACAATAAGTAACTTTATGCAGCAGAACAAAAGTACGCGTTGTAGTCCCTGCCTAACAACTGCCTCCTCTAATGCGTTCCCCTTTTATGGGCTTAAATTGTATAGACCAGGGGTCAGCAACCTTTTACACGCCGAGTGCCATTTTTGCAACCATCAGACAACCGGGTGCCGATGAACAATAGCGCACCGTAGTGTTAGTTAAACTTCAATTTTTACACTCATAGTTGTAGTGCTAATAATAAGTTCAACTCATTAATTATTTAAATGTGTTTATTTTGCCATTAGCAGCAAAACTATAAGTGGAAAAAACAATAACTGGTGTACACACAAAATATGTTCATATTTACATGTGCTGAAAAGTAAACTGTGCTTACAATTTTAATGTGATCCCCGTGTCTGCATTGTATGGCTCAGTTGTGCTATGTCTGACATGTAGGGTGTTACTTTCATTTGACCTCAGACCAGCACCAAAGCACACTTTGCACGGCAGACCTCAGACCAGAACCAATGCACAGCAGACCTCAGACCAGAACCAATGCATAAAAGATCTCAGACCAGCACCAAGGCACAGCAGATCTCAGACCAGCACCAATTTCAGAGACCCCCTGAGACCCTGCAGTCTGCTGGATCTCAGGGGGTCTGTGCAAGATCTGTGGTGGGCTTTGCAGGCTGCAGAGCCCCCTATGGATCCTGCAAAGCCCCCACAGATCCTGCAGAGAACCACTGAGACTCTGCAGGATCTCAGGGGGGCTGTGCAGGATCTGTGGTGGGCTTTGCAGGCTGCAGAGCCCCCTACGGATCCTCCAAAGCCCACCAAAAGGTATTGCCAGCACAGTCCTCCTACCTGGCACAGGAAACCCAGCCTCCTCTCTCAGCTTCGCCTCCCGACTGGAGCTTCGGCGATGCCTCCCGCCTCCTCCATCGCGGTCTCTGCCCTTGCCTCCTCCGTTGTAGTCTTCGGCTTCTTCCATATCCCCTGTCTCCGCCCCCTGCCGCTCCGTCCCCCGTCTTCACCCTGCCTCTTCCATCTCCTCTGTCTCCGCCCCCTGCCGCTCCGTCCTCTGTCTCCTCCTGCTCCCTCGCCCGCCGCTTCCTCCCCGTAGACATTAGGCAGCCAGGCTGCCGGTTTCTGTGCAGCACGGCTGCCTAAATGTTTTGGGGGTGGCATTTTTGCTGCCCCCCTGGAATCTGCCGCCCGAAGCAAACGCCTTGTTTGCCTCGCGGCAGATACGCCCCTGCCTGGACCCAACACAGCACCCTGGACCCACAGACTGATTACTCCTAGTCTAGAGCCACATGTGCGACTTTAGTCATTGGCTACTTAGCGATTTATCCACTTGCTGGCCATCATCACATTATGCTGGAGAGGCACAGATCTTTAATTGCATAATCATTCTGTAAAATCACTAGAAGATATTGTAGCAATACCTGGAGCATTGTGTGAGACTGATATACTCCATGGACATCCCCCACAGACACAAAGAGGCAGCTGGCTGCAATTGCTTTTATATTGGATCAGCAACAATCAGGATTTCTATAGTGTGGGATTTACTCACAGACGAGGCAACTCCGGAATCTCCCCCACAGAACCCCTGCAGAACGGAGACATGTTTTACCACAAGGTTTTCTGGGCAGATTAAGCTGATCATTGAGGACAACAAATTGAACTGACTGGGAATATCCACGTGTTGAGCGGGGAACAGAATCTGCGCATCGGGCAGGTGCAGATCCGGGTCCCTCCCGGCGGGCTGGGAAATCAGGGAGCCGCAAGGCAGGAACAGGGACAGAGCTAGATCCACAACGAACCTATGGGCTGCAGCTACGTCAGGGAGGTGGGTGGGCCAAGCTTGTAATTGACACCTGGCTCGAGAGAGCTGTCAATTCCAAACAGTAAAGAGTAAGTTCGCGTGCCATCAGACAAGGGCTTGCGTGCCAGGCTGGGCACGCGTGCCGGGGGTTGCCGACCCCTG